CACCAATGTAACTACTTAAGATTTGACCGGATACGGTATATTAAACATAACATACATATATATTTAAAATGATCAGCACTCCTTTTCCAATAATGGCTAACCTAAACAAACCATCTAGTCTAAACTGGCTTTTTTCTAGGTTTCTTGGGAAACCTCTTTCAGTCATGGCATTTCATAGATATCTATAGAGCATTTTCTTCTTTCCAAGATCCCGAAGGATGGTTAGGATCAAGACTAATCAGTGGTAAAAGTCCTGACAAATGGTCTTTCCCTGTCTGTGGCAGGGCAGTTGTTCTTTTGAAGATTCACAGGGATGGATAGTATTGGTTTTGCTTAAGTACAGCCAATAATGATACTGTCTACTATATGCTACTTTATGGGAGTTGTAGGCCAAAACACCTGCGGACCCACAAGTTGAGAACCACTAGTTTAAATGGAAAATTATTTCTAAGTTTCTCTTTTATTCTTCTTCCATGTTTAACCTTGAAACTGCTTCAAATTCTCTAATAAAACACTGATGGGCCATGGAATAGCTTTCCTGCAGCATCCTAAATTTCAGATTTTTTTTAAAAATGAAATTTACTAATTGAACGAGTTACTACAGTGACAGTCTTTTTTGCAGATACAGTAGGCAGAAAATGACAACAAAGTATAATCATTTAGGGGAGAAGTATTAGGCTAGAGGTAATGGAATAGCTCCAACACAAATTTTACAGTGTCCAGAAGACAGCAACTTTGTAGTTCAATAAAAAAGGGTCATACAAAGATGTTTCACATTTCTGTGTCTTCCAGCAAATGTTACTATGGAAAATTGACTATTACTTATTGCTGGTTTTCTTCCCAGTAAACTGTAAGTCATACAACAGTGAGGCAGGGCTGAAGAGAGATGAGAAACGTTTGCATGCGAACAAACAAGCTGACAGTTGATGCCATATGGACTCCCAAAGCACTGGTTCCCAAAGGAAAGATTTTTTCCCTTAAATGTCCCAAATCATATTGACTGCTTGCCCACAATTCCCATTGGCTTTCTTGTCATGAACATATTTTGGAAAAAAAAAACCCAGAAAGGAGAGAGTATAAATGAGAGCAAAGTTTCTTGGAAAGCTAATCTACAAGAAAGGAGATTCCATCTGAACATGAGGAAGAACTTCCTGAGTGTGAGAGCCATTCAGCAGTGGAACTCTCTGCCCCGGAGTGTGGTGGAGGCCCCCCCTTCTTTGGAAGCTTTTAAACAGGGGCTGGATGGCCATCTGTCAGGGATGATTTGAATGCAATATTCCTGCTTCTTGGCCGGGGGTTGGACTGGATGGTCCATGAGGTCTCTTCCAACTCTTTGATTCTTTGATTCTATGATTCTATGAAATGAGCAGAAGTGTGATGCTGTTGCTATGCCGGTTTGTCCACCTCTGCCCACCCTACTTCCTTCCAGGGCACACCACAATTAACACCAGAGGACTGTTTGCAAGGACATTGTGTTGCAAACAGGATTGCAGGTATGGAGAAGGCCTTTCCTAACTTTACCCATTTAGCAGGATTCCAGACTTTGTGTCAGAATTTTAGCTGGACTCGTTACTAAAGAGAAGTCTCTTAAGGGACACCTCTAGACTTTCTGTCTTTATTTGGGTGATTATGGATGCAATCCAATTGTGTAATTCAAATCTTAGTATAGCCAAAGTTTTGAACCATGACCTAGATCTACACTGCTATATAATGAACCATGGCTCCCAAGATGCATTTTTACAGACCTTGCAGCCCCCTTCCCCAAATTCCCAATACAAAGCAAGGTGAAATAAAGACATTGGCCAAATTTAGTAGCATGAAAAACTGATAATGTGGCTTTTCACCAACATTCAGTACCAAATCATGACTATCTTATCCAGGCAAATTTAATGGTTGGCAAAATGGAAGCATTATGTCTGTCTGACTGAACTTTTTATGGAGGAACCATGTTTGCAAGGAGCTACTGCAAGGAACAGCAGATCGCCCTCAGATGATCCTTTTATATTACTCAGTGCATACAAGTAGTTTTAAAAGGATGATAACAGAGCTTAAAGCCATCAGATCCTGTCTGTTCTTGGTTAGTACTTGGATGGGAGACAACCAACAAATACCAGGTGCTATAGGATATATTTCAGAGGAAGGAACCTGCAAAATTACATCTGAGTATTTCTTGCCAAAAAGAATCCCATAACATTCATAGGAAATATGTTAAACTCAGGGCCCTTCTACACAGCCCTATATCCAAGAATATCAAGGCAGAAAATCCCACATTATCTGAGTGTGGACTCAGATAACCCAGTTCAAAGCAGATATTGTGTGATTTTCTGCCTTGATATTCTGGGATATAAGGCTGTGTGGAAGGGCCCCCAATCGCTTCATGGTGGTGGCTAATATGTTAAAACAAAGAGAGTGCAAGAATCCTCATCTTACTCAGGCTAGAGCTACACTGCCCTATTTCAGAATGCAGTTTTACTTCATTGAACTGGATTATATGGCAATGTAGACCCATATAATCCAGTTCAATGCAGTTAAGCCACATTCTGAACCTGCATTATAAAGCAGTGTAGATCCAGTCTCAGTTCTATCCATAATCCATCCCCTTTCTGCATCTTTTCAGGAGCCTCTGCAACTGATGTAGTTGAAAAGTAAGACAACACATTACTTTTCGGTGTGAACAGGAAAGAATGGAACAATGGACTCAACAGCATACTTTCAGGACCCATCTACACTGCCATTTAAAATGCAGATTATCTGCTTTGTACTTGATTATATTGGTCTACACTGTCATACAATCCAGTTCAAAGCAGATAATCTGGATTTTATATGGTAGTGTACATGGGGCCTCAGGCCCCTTCTACACTGCCAGATAATCTAGGTTATCAAAACAGAAAATCCACATTATCTGTTTTGAACTGGATTATCATAAGTCTACACTGCCATATCATTCATTTCAAAGCAGATAATCTAGATTTTATACAGCGGTGTAGACCGGGCCCCAGGCCCTTTCCACAGAGCTGTATAAAATCTACACTGAACTGGATTATATGGTAGTGTGGACTCTTCCCAGCTAAGGGAATCCAATCCTCTATTGATGGGAATACAGTTTCATATGTAAGTTTATCCCACAAACAAACAAGTTCTAAAATTCCACTGATGTAAGAAATCACTTCCAAACTCGGCCCTGGATCCACTCCTGCTTTGCTAATTTAAAGACTAGACTTTTAAAATAATGTTTGGGAAATATAATGCTTTCTTACATCACAGAAGGATTCTGAACTGAATTTCTATGGTTCTTTCAGTGGTACCAGAGAACAACTGTGCTTATATTTAGAAGCTATGCTTTATTATTTTCTTTTGGATACTGCATCAATAATGACAATGGAGAACAGCAATCAATTATCTGATTTCACTGTTCTTTCATATTAGGCTCCTCAATTCTTTGTCTCCTGCTGCCTTAAAATGATGGGTTAGGAAAAAATGCCTACTTTCCTTCTTCTTCTAAGACAAAGAACAGGTTGCTGCCTACACAAATTCAGCTTCCATAAAAAGTTCATGGAGGCCAAAAGAATGATCTAAATGAATCATCATTTAGAACATGTCACAACTCCATGGAAACCAGAATCAGCCTGTCTTTCTGCAATGATTAATATCACCCAAAAATGGGCATCTTTCTCTTTCCACAAGGGGAGAAGTTTCTATAGTTAGGTAGCTGAACTTCAGAATTTAACATGAAGTTATTTTTTGACGGAACTAGGAATTTTACTGCAAAAACATGCCTAGCGATCTAGATTGTTGTTTCTCCAGTCTAAAGTGGTATGAAAGATTCTTAAGAGATAAACAATCAATGTGTGGCAGGGATGGAGCTCTTTCCTAAAGGTTTCCTCTGATTTTTTCTATTGTTCCAGAGATGTTGCTAACAGGAAAAAGCAAAGGACAAGTTGCAAGGAGGCTGGTAAAGCTGAAGCATTTCCGTTCCTATCTCTACCCTTCCTATGGCCAGATCTACACTGCTCTATATTCCAGCATCTGATCCCAGATTATTTGGCAGAAAGGCCAAAAGTTGGCATCTCATTTCCTATCTCTACCCTCTTAGCATCTCACGTAGTACCTGGGTTGTAAACATTTTAAGGACAATGGGAGATGAATGCTGCAGTGCAGTTAAAAAGTCAAGGTGTTAAACCACCTTGACTTTAATGTTTTACTTTACAGTTAGACAAACACATGAGGTGTAATCACATGATGTTTCTAAGGATATCTTCAGAATAAAATCGACCAACTTGCTTACATTTAAATAATCTAACTTTGCAAAAAGAAATATACCATTTGGTAGAGCTTTCACTTTTTACAATTTACTGTTTCCTTATCAACTGCTATAGTTCATTGCCCATTTACCTAGGCATATGTCTGATTGAACTCTGTGAGACTTACTTCTAAGTGAACATAAACAGAGAGTGACTTTGGTGTAGCAGTTTGAATGTTGGACCAGGATTTGAATTCCATTGGCTACCTATTGTGAATAATGTATTCTCAGCCTCAGAGAAAGGCAAAGGCCAGTCCCCTCTGAAAAAATGTTGCCATGATAATCTTGGATAGGTCTACCTTAGGGTAGACCTTCTACAGTGCCATATAAAATCCAGATTATCTGCTTTGAACTGGATTATATAGCAATATAGATTCATATTATCCAGTTCAAAGCAGATAATGTGGATTATCAGTGGAGGAGGGCCATAATTGGAAAGAACTCGAAGCCACACCATATTAACAAACATAAACAACACTGAAGTCTATTACATACAGCCCCAGCTAACATGCATCCCTGAAACTTCTCTCTTCTTCCTATGATGTTTTTATCTATAAAAAGCTTATCATTTTTAAAGCTCTACAACAGATAAATGAATCCATATCAAACAGAAAAGAAGCAATTGAAGGCATGAAACGGAAGGGGGAAATATATATATCTTATGTTTATAGATAGGTTACTTGAAATGCTTGGTGCTGACCTGAGGCCATAGAGAACTGTCCCATCTGGATGTAAGCGAATCATCCTGTTCTTCACAGTGACACCATGTACAAATGACTTCTTATCATTCAGGAAGTAGGTATCAGGCACCCAAAGCTGATCTGCTACTCTATTGTCCAGTGTAAGATTTAAAGGTATTACGTTATACGAAAGCCTCTTATCCCTCCATGCTTGCTGAAAGTACATTGTCAAGGTATAGTCCTGAAATGATAGAAAAGAGAGAGGAAAAATAGGTTGAAATCAGTTTTACCATTCCTTGTGTTATTTGTGATATGCAAAGCAAATCAGCTACTATCTATCTCTGTCCAATACTTATTGCACTCCAGTTTAAACATACAGGTCGAGAATTAATTATTTAGAATTCCAAAATCTGAAATACTCCGAAATTGTTCATGGCTGATATAGTGACACCTTTGCTTTCTGATGATTTGTTGTACACAAACTTTGTTTTATGCATCAAAATATTCCCTTCAGGCTATGTGTATATGGTGTGTATGAAACATACATGAATGTAATGTTTAGACTTGGATACCATCTCCAAGATATCTCACTATTTATGGGCATGTTAGTACAAGCATCCCCAAATCTGGGAGGGGGGAATTCACAATACTTGTGGTCCCAAAAAAATTGGTTAACGGATATTCAATCTATACTTCTCTTTTAAATATTTGAGTTAAAGCCACAGTGCTGAGCAACACGATAACAATCTCTAACATTTTGTACTCTTCCCTAATACAAACAAAAATATTGCACTAACCTAATATTGAATAACAGTGCAATATGTATTTGTTGGTCTTCATTAATATCATATTTGGTATGACCTGCATTATTTTAAAAAGTAAGCCTTGGGGATGCAATTATACCTTCCCTTTCCCAGATACAGACAATCCTGCCCTGAGTCCCCTACGGGGTGAGAAGGGTGGAATATGAATACCGTAAATAAATAATAAATAAATAATCCTTTATTTTTTGTCAAGAATTTAAAAATATTCAGAATAAAATTATTTATTCAAATTTATATCTCCAAATGTTTGTGTCTCAAAAATACTATCTGATTTTGAATAAATTATACTGTTTGTGACTCACTGTGTGTTTCAAGAGAACGAAAGACTCTCTTGGTCAGACATAATTTATTAAGCAAATTGTCACATTCCTAGAATCATAGCATTACAGAATCATTCTGACTGAATATAAAACTATACTTTGCACTATCAAGGAAAGAGCCTATTAACAAGAATGCAGAAAACAGGAAAGAAGGTCTTCTTGTTCAAAACAGAAACAGGAAAGAAAACAGGAAAGAAGGTCTTCTTGTTCAAATGAGGTATCTCTATAAAGGTTTTTCTTGGTCCATTGAAAACCCAGTTAAACAACCAAAGTGTTATTTTTTGGAAAAGGCATTTGTCTATTATGTGTTATCCAAAGATCATCAGCTATTAAGAATTATGATTAACTCTCAACTGATGTGGTTTATAGGGGGCAACACACCAAAGAAGTATGGTGTCAAGTCTTGAAACATCATAGGTACAATCCTAGACAAAATGCACACTGCCAGCTGTTCAAAAGCACTGACTCTTTAGCAGAAAAGTTACATGCTACATCTTTTTCTGTTAAATGCAAAACTGAATAAACATCCAACTGGTATCTCCAGCAGCGATGTAAAAAATACTCATAGCTCTTGTCCTCATTGAGAAAAGAAGTGCTTAAACATTTTGATAGCCTGCAAAAAATGCAGTCAACGATGGTGAGATTTTGGGAGCTGTTTGTAAAAAACAAGTCTACAAAAACCTGTCACTATTTTCTATATATATATATATGTGTGTGTGTGTGTGTGTGTATGTATGTATGTTAAAGGTTTTCCTTAACATTAAGTCTTGTTGTGTGCTCATCTCCATTTCTAAGCTGAGGAGCCGACATTGTCCGTAGATGCCTCCAAGGTCATGTGGCCAGCATGACTGCATGGAGCGTCATTACCTTCCCAGAGAAGCGGTACCTATTTATCTACTCACATTTTGCATGTTTTTTAAKTGCTAGTTTGGCAGAAGCTGGCGCTAACMGTGATTGCTCACTCCGCTYCCCAGATTTGAACTGCCAATCTTTCGGTCAGCGAGTTCAGCAGCTCAGTAGTTTAATCTGCTGCGTCACCAGGGCATAGAATGAAATGTTTACAACCCCCCCCCCCCGAATTCATAAAATAATTGAAAAATGTAGAGAAACTCTTGTAACACCTCCAATTACAACATCTGCAATTCTTCATTCTTGCATGCAATAATAAMGTAAGCAAAGATTTACATGACTACTACCTGTCACTAGTACACTATATTTGGGTGTCTATACATTCCCAAGAAAAAGGCTACCATTACTGAAATAAGACAAGTTACCACTTCCTAAGCACCTTTAATTATTTTCTATTACACAAAAATGTAGACCATGTGATAAACAGAGGCTTATATGGTTTATAAGTGTTAAGAAAATGAAGTGGATATGACCACAGAAATTTTACTGTTTGTATATTTAAATTTTGTTGAGCAAAATCAGTCTTATCCAAAACTTCAGTCCAAAAGGTAGACACTAACACCCAACACATTTTAATCTATTAATGCTCCTGTCTCAAGATTAAACCCAGCCACAGTTTTTCTAGGTTAGCTATCAAGGATGTTTCCTATAAAAGCTTGTACAAACGTATTGTTCCAAAATGTGTAATAAGTGTATAAAGCTTTCCTGAGAGTAGGCTCCACTGAATGTAATAAGGCCCACTCCTGAGAAGACATAAAAATGTTTTCAGCAATGCACAAAACCTAGCCTGTGGTTGATGTTTGTTTTCGTCAGCAAGACTTCCAGGAGCATGCTACACACATGAATCCACTGAGAAATCACTCTGACACTCTGTAATTTTGTCTGTTGCAATGCTATTTTGCATAAATGGTATTGATTACAGTTGTAAGGAAATAATTAATGACTTATTACACTGACTCTTTATTTAAGAGAGAGCATTTAAATGTTTTCATTAGGTAGACAAGTGGTATGGAATAATCTACAGAAACATGGAAATAGAGAAATCTGCTGTGCTTTGCAGACATCACCTAGAATTGCATTCTCTTCTTGCATGGTACATATGAAACTTATTATAAGGAATGTCCATTATTTGAAGGTTAGAAAGCTTATATCTTATAGGCAGGTAGGTGTCCCTAATTATAAGGGATAGCCAGAATTTGAAGCCTGGAAGGCTTTTTCTTATATGTACACTGAAGAAGATGCCAAAACACAGTGTATTTTGGAGTGTAGTCATTTCATAAAGACAGAAATGAGTGCATGGAGTAATGTATGAATTTGGACAATATGTTAACTTTATAGAGAAACACATGGTTAGGTTAACTGAAATCAATATGTGCATTTTATATTTTAAATAGAACATAAACTTGTTAATAGCCGCTTCCTGTTTGTCTACCTTGCATGTCACAAATTTTAGCCTTCCCTTTCTGCAATATTGACAACTTAATAGTGTTCAAGCCAAAATTGTGCAAAAACTCATTACAGTGACAACAGCAGCAAATAGTTCTATAAGGTGAAAGCAGCTTCACGGCAGAGAGGAAATTATAAGAATAGTCTTTTTAAAAAAAGAACTTGTTTTCCAGAACGAAATTAGCTTTTTCGAAACACTATAAATGCTACACATAGTTGAAGGTTAACATAAAAGATATAAAAATGAATACATAAAGCACAAACATTGTACACTGTAGTGGATTTTGGACAGTTTTTTAAGTTCAAACATATCCAAGTAATCCTTATGGTTCGGGACCTGCTTATCTCGTGACCACATCTTCCCCTACAAACCTATGCGAACTCTAAGATTTTCTGGGGAGGCTCTCCTCTTGCTTCCACCCTGTCACAAGTGGGGACGAGAAAGAGGGCCTTCTCAGTGGTGCCCCCTGACTCTGAAACTCTCTTCCTAAGGAGATTAGAACATCCACTAAAATGTGGATGACCCACTGTGATTTTGACTAGACAGTTCCCCACATAATTTTGGCCCCCAGTTTGATCCAAAACCAGATCTCTTTACATACCCACTCCCACCAGTCTCTAATCTTGGCATCTGCCTTCAGCACTTTTTCCATCAGACCCGTCCTTTGCAAGTGATTGCACCAACCTGCCTGCCTTCAAGACAAAGGACAAATCAACCCTCACATTTTACAAAGATGGATATTCTGTCATTTTATTTATTTGCTTTTCTTTTGCCCGACAACAGAAAAAAAACTTGCTTTCATAAATAAATAGTTTTAAACTTGTTTCCTTGACATTTCACAGGCTTCTTTTAATTTAAAGCAAACAAACTTTCATTTGTATAATCTGCAGAGTCTGTGGGGTTATTGTTGCTCTGGAACAATTAACATTTTATATATCATCACAGTAAGCCATTTGCTAGATGACACATTTTCAAAAAATTCACAACATATGTTATGTAACACACAACATTTTATTTGTTGTGCTAAATTGAGGATCCCACTTTCCAGCTATTGTCTATTACTAGTTTCACATGCTTTCCCATTAAATTAAACCTGAATTTAATTTAATGGGAAAAGCTGGAATAGTTTTGACAAAGAGGACTAATAAATTAAAAGATCAATTTCTGTTTCTATTATTATTATTATTTTACTGACACGAGATCTATATGATGGATTTCGTATTTAAAAAATCACAAGTTGAACACTTCCCAAGCATCTAGGACTGTGTGATGTATTTTCGAATGATGCTCGCAGATCCAAGTAAGGTGGCCTTTTGCAGTTGACAGATCATGATTTTGTCCATGTTTATTGTTTCCAAATGCTGGCTGAGATCTTTTGGCACAGCACCCAGTGTGCCAATGACCACTGGGACCACCTGTACTGGTTTATGCCAGAGCCTTTGCAGTTCGATTTTGAGGTCTTGATAGCGGCTGAGTTTTTCCTGTTGTTTTTCCTCAAGCAGCTGTCACCCAGTATGGCGACATCAATAATCCAGACTTTTTTATTTTCCACAATCGTGATGTCTGGTGTATTGTGTTCCAAAACTTTGTCAGTCTGGATTCAAAAGTCCCACAGTATTTTTGTGTGTTCATTTTCCATGACCTTTGCGGGTTTATGATCCCACCAATTCTTTACTGCTGGTAGGTGGTACTTGTGACATAAGTTTCAGTGAATATTTGGGCCACAGAATTGTGTGTTTGT